TTAGGCCCTTATTCTCCTCTTTGTTAAGTTAAATAGATGGGCTCCTTTAACTACCTTGTGCCACATAAAAGCACTAAACTCATTTAGCAAGAAGCGAAGTGGATATAAATTCCATTTGATTAAAAAAAAAAATCAATTTAAATTCTCTATATTGTTCTATCCTTAAGTGACTATCTGGAAATACTGTCTCAAAGTATTTCTGAACACACAGATTTCAACACACTTTAATGTATCAGATTAATTTCCAATTTATGTCTCATGGTAATGGATCCTGTTTAAGAGCACCATTACTATTAACATAGGTATTGGTGGCAGATGTCACTAGACCAATTAGGAGGGCTACAAGAATCAAACACTACACATTTACGAATGTTTTTACACTTCACTAGACACTGGCTGTACCTTCTCAATACTTGCATGAAGGTCCACCTCGAGTTTGCTCTTCTCTACTCTAACAGTCTCCAGAATTTGCTGGAGTTGGTCCCTTTCCTCTATTAATGAGGAATTCTGTTCCTCTAATTGCTGAATACGTTCATTTTCACCCTCTGTCTTTTCTTCCAGTTCATTCAACAATTGATTCCTTTCACCAGAGATTAAGTTTAATTCTTCATCCAACTTTTTTATCTATAAAGACATAGAAGGAATACATTAATAAAAGTTGTATGAAAGTTTGTAAGTAACAAAGTAACACTATCCCTCAAATGTACTGCTCTGAAAAAATTCTGTGAAACAGCATAGTAAGTAAATTTAAAAAAGCAGTCACAAAATCCAACAAGAGGGAGAGTGAACACAAGTTTATCTGTAATAAAATTATAGCCAGTAACTCACTGGAAAAGTGTTCTTTTCCTAAAACAAAAAGCTAGGCAGCAGTCTTTGTTTTCTTGGTATAATACTTGCCTTCTCTTTTAAAAGTGTTATTTCTCCTGTTAGTTTTTCTTCAGCCATCAATAACTCCTTCTCTCTCTCTATTATTAAGTTATTCTGGATATCAGCCTGCTTTTTCAGCTCCTTATGTAGATTTTCTACTTCTGCCTGAATTTTCGCAGACTGAAACATAGGAATTACATGAGGATATATGAGAGACTTCCTTGTATTCGATCAACATGTAACTACAAAGAAACCATTTTGCTCATTTTAAGGAAATATTAAAAGAAAAGGGGAAAAAAAAAAAAAAAGAGTCAGCATACTCATTAAATCTTCTGTTTGGAAACCCTGAAAATTCATTTTATTGTCAGCCGACACCTTCCACCTAAATACCTCTAGGAATTCCAAAACAAGACAGACATCTTGCAAATGCAATCTTTGTCAATTTTGCAAGGCAAGGGATAACAGAAATAATGACTGGAAAACTACATACAGACTAGGAAAGATGATAGATAAAAGGTTACTTATTCAATTACTCTTTGTATCAGAAGGGATGCTTACTATTTTCTCCTTGATAGTTTGACTTCAGAAGCGACTAACAGAAAATTAACTAACATTATGGTATCCATAGGTTTACTCCTGTAGGAAAATGTGTTACAAACCATATTAGTCATTCGCCAGCGCACCCAGCTGGGCTGAAGGAAAGAAGCGGATAGCAGGACAGAAATCAGATTCACTAATGGGAAACAGCAAGCAGTGATTCTCAGAAATAGGGTGGAAAGGTTAACATGCATCAAGGTAAAACCAACAGGCAGAAAGTCCCCCATACATAGCAAAAGCTTTGTAATTTAAGGCATAAACTGACAATCGAACCCAGTAACCCCTTCCTACCAAAGGATGTTTTTATAAAGGAAAGGAAGTGTACTTTGTAAAGTCTTCCTCAGACCATGCTAGACACCCACTTCTTCCAAAAATGCCACTAGGGGCACTGATTCCAGGAATTAACTTACAGCAATACTAAGCCCCTGGCATTTTGGATAAAATGAAATCATGTGCTATATTTGGCACATGTGCTCAATAATGTTCAAATCTCCAATATGGCCCTCCTGTGCCACAAACTTCCAAAGAGATGTATAAGTCTAGAAAAAAAACTGGGAGAAATATTTCCCAGGAATTGTGTTAAGAATAATTTATCTTGGGGCAGAAGACTTGAGCTCTGACAATCTTTTTTTCACAACAGCAATATGATTCTGATCGAGACCAAACCTATTCTACACCCTGCCTTTGAGACAACAGCCACTAAAGAGAGTAGCTATAGGCTTGTCTAATCTAGCATCTTGACACCCAATATTACTCAGATGCAGAGTCTGTAGCGTCTACCTAAACACAGACAGAGCACATAGTAACAGAGGGCTCCGAGAGTTGTGTCAGATACCTCTAGGGATATCAAGAGGCTACTAGACATTTAGGGTTGTTGCTTTTTTTTTTTTTTTAAATAAACATTTTAATCTACATTTGCTGTACCTTCTCAATGCTCTCATTAAGGTCCACCTCGAGTTTGTTCTTCTCTGCTCTAACAGTCTCCAGCATTTGCTGGAGTTTGTCTCTTTCTTCTGTTAACGAGAAACGCTGTTTCTCCAGTTGCTGAATATATTCATTTTTGCTGTCTCTATTTTCTCTCAGTTCGCTCGTCAATTGATTCTTTTCACCAGAAATTAAGTTTAATTCTTCATTCAACTTCTCTATCTATTAAAACACACAAAGAATATGTACTGTAATTTTGCTTGCTTTACAAACTTTCAAATAATTAGCACCCCCCCCAAATTTACCATTTTGGTAAATTACAGGAAACAGCAACATGGTGTAAGATATAAGCATTCAAAGTCTTTAAAACAAAAACAAACACACAACCCCCCCCCTTCTATTTTCCTTTATAAACACTGAGTTTCTACATCAGATTACCTTTTGAAATTTAAGATTAATAGCCCAACAAAAACACAGACACAGGCAAGAAATTTGTGACTTAAGCCCTGCAGTGTAGATGCACCCTATGTGGAAATAAGCTACGCAAATTGAGTGGTCAACTGCGTATCTTAGTTCAAAATAGCTTATTTCTAAATAGCGAGCATCTATACAGCACTTATTTCAAAAGAGCACTTCCTTCGACTTCCCTTATTCCTCGTACAATGAGGTTTATTGGAGCTGGAATAAGAAATCCTCCAGCTTAATAGTATTTTGACACTATCTTGCAATAACTGCCTGCTGTGAAGAGGCCGACTAAGTTATTCCAGAATAGTGCTAGTTATTTTTTAAATAGCGTTGCAAGTGTAGACATACCCTAATTGTCTTTGCGGGATTCTAAAGGAGACAAATTCAGTGAGGTAATGAAAGTCAATTTTTTTTTTTAAGTGGTGTCAGAGTTTCTTGGTAGAAGTTGCTTTTGAGAATAAATATAAATTATGGGGCTTTGCTGTTGCTATGGAAATTGTTTTAGCCCTTCAGGGGTTATTTTGAGAAGTTATTTAGAGAGAATATTTTGAAGGACCAGAGAATGATTTACTGCTGATTAAGCATTCCTACCATGAGCGGGTGTTCTTCCAGCAACTCATAAAAATAAGCAGACCTTGAGATGTATTAACCAATTTTGAAAGATACAAAGGAGATGTATAGATAGGCAGATCCTAGGCATGTGAAACTCTCCAGTGTAATACGTGAAGTGACTGGTTAGTATTTCTGCATAGCTATGTTTTGAGCAAAATAATTGGTTAAAGTATAAATAATATAAATTCATTTTAAACTTTACAAGAACCAGAAGACAAGCTTGTTAGAACTTAACTACAGGAGTCAGCTGAAGAACAAGCTGCCATACCTTTGAGAGCCTGCCTGGCACCATATTGTGTAGAATCTGGAGCCCCAGACAATTCAGTTCTGATTAGCCATCAGGAGAACACAGCCTGCTTTACTGGGATTAGCGAGCATAGGAATGCTTGACGTGTGTATTCTGTCGATTAATTGCTAATAAATACAGATTACGGGTATTACTGTGTTCTGGTAAAAAGGTTCTAACCAACCCAGAGAGGGCCACTGAACCTGGGGAAAGGGACCTAAATTGTTCAGATGTGACCCACCTTTTCTTTTTAATATCCTGGGCCCAAAATGGTTACAACACCACTACATATTCTGAAGAAGTGAAGGTTCAGAATTGAAAGGAAGAGAAAATAGAGTTATTTTAAAAACATTAGTCTTATAGTGAACTAATTCTCTTTTGGAATGGTTTCTCTTGTGTCCTAGCCAGCAGCTGTCCTCTGAAGAGCTGATGAGAAGATATCGCCCTTGCTGCAGAATACAGACTCCAAGTAGCAAGCTGCCAAATATGTTTACTTTGCTACTGACAGAAAGGAGAGAAAAGTCAGTCACTTAACTCATAGAACCCTGACATTGTTGCCTTTAAAAAGAATGGGTATGAAGTACTTCCTGTTTCATTAGATCTTTTGGAAAAAAGAAAAAAAGGTCGCCTTTTGAAGGAATGGATGCATCTTTTGTGAACATGACAATGTACCAGCGTCTCATTGCAGTTTACAGTTATGTTTTTGTTCAGTCTTATCTTTCAGCATGTAGTCATAATAGAGAAAGATATTTGCCCTTGGATTAGCCTCCCCCTAGCCCCTTTTGGTTTAATGTTAAACACTGCTTTTTGTCCTCTCTGGATCTTCTGGTAAGCAACAGATTTATTTGTATTTTTACTACCAGACTTACTGGCATTGCTCAGGTCCTGCTGGGAGGGGTGGAGGAGGGAAGAGGGGGATGCAGCAAGAAGTGGAGCACCAGCATTGCTCCCCAAGGCTAGGATGGCATGGGCTGCGCTGCCCAGGTGGCCCTGTCGCTCCTTAGGGCCAGGCCTACTGGGGGGAAGCTTCCTTACTGCCCACCCTGTGGTCAGTCTGCAGTATAGCTGTCCCTTATGAATGACCACACAGAGGCAGCAAGCACGAGTTTAACTATCCCTACTACTAGACCCCTCCATTTCTGTTTGATGAGAAACAACTGCATTCCATGCATATCCCATTGTCCTGGTATATGCATGGAATGTAGTTGTTTCTCAACAAACAGAAATGGAGGGGTCTGGTAGCGGGGATAGTTAAACTCATGAATCACCACATAGCTTTCATGAAGGAGGGAAGAAGGGGATGCAGCATGAAATGGAGCACCAGCGTTGCTCCCCAAGACTAGGCTGGCATGGGCTGCGCTGCCCAGGTGGCCCTGTCCCTAACCCTAACCCTAACCTTGCTTTAAGTTAGAAGAAGTTGCATAACAAATTTGGTGGTTCTAGCTCTTACCATTTAGGAGTTCTTGAACAAATACCTCACAGAGAGACTGATGGACACAGATGCACAAACTCTCAAATGTATAGTAGATATGGCTAAAAAGCATAAAATAAAAGTTTTCATTTTTGTGCTTCTTACCCACATTCCTACGGTTTGCATCATCTGTGGGTGACACCTCAATCATTTTCATGACTAACAGCATGCTCATGATTTGGACATTTCTATGGGAGCAAGCAGGGAGAGGAGTCAAGATAATTTGGAAGAAAACAGCTGTGAGGCAGATATTCAAGAGTGCTCTGCATCTAGCCAGCTTCCATTGTCAAGTAAACAGGACAAGGACTTTACCTGCCTATAAGAAGTTCTTACCACTAGTAAAAATAACCTTGTTCACTATGTTGTGTAAGTGTTCTTTATCCAGGAAAGGAAAGTTAGGGAATCCTTGGTGTTTTGGCTCCAGTACTTGCCTTCTCTTTAAGCTGGGTTGTCTCTGTCTTCAGCAACTCCTTTTCTCTCTCTATTATCAAATTATTCTCTGCATCAACCTGCTCTTTTTGGCATTTTAGCTCCTCCTGTAGATTTTCCATTTTTGCCTGAGTTTTCAGAGATTGAAACAAGAAATTACACAATGAGGATATTAAATAAGATACTTCACTGTATTCTACACAACTGGAACTACAAAAAAGTGTAAGCAGAAATGTTCAAGGGCCTAAAGAGAGAAAATACTCACTAAGTCTGCTATTTGAAAGCCATGAAAATTGAGTTTATTTCAATTGGTACCTCCCCACCCTAAATTCTTCTAAGGATTCCAAAAGGACACAGTGCCTCTCTTTCTGGAAATGTAGACCTCAAAATGCAAATAAGAATGTGCATGTGCAATGAAGACAGGCCAATAAATTCAGGCTTTAGGAGGTTGGTTTTCTAAATATAAATCTGAAGAGTCCATCCTTAGTGACCACAAAAATTTTCTCAAGCTTAACTGTTGTAAAGCTAGATAAGTAGCAAAGGGTCTCACAAAAAGAACACTTGGGAGCTCTCCTCTACTACCCTACTGAAACAGTTGGGCTACTCCTATTTCCAAAGTAGTCAGGATACCTGCATTCCTATTAAAATTACTGAGTCCAATTCAGTTTTTGGTAAATTTACCTAAAACCTCTATTTCTGAGCAGAGAGTTTACAGAACTTAGAAAATATTCTGTTATTTTGCTTTCATTAACTTTAGAATCTGGTTTTCATTACCTGTAAGGTGAAACCTTTCACTAATACCTGATTCCAGACAAGGCGGACTGAAAACCAGGTAGGACACAATCACAGATAATAGTTTGTCAACTTCACCATCTGTTGCGTATGTATGCTGTGCTTTGAAAGAGCATAGCATTGTTTTACTTCCAATATTAGAGGGTGTATTTTGTCAGTTGGTTTTCTTTCTGGGACTAACCTCTCCCTAATCCAACTCAACCTGAACTGAATTATTCAGGAGCTCAAGTTTCCTGTTAGCATTAAACATGTTCTGAATAGTTATATCCACATTACAGGCAGAATCACTGTTTCTAGTTTCTATAACAGCATATAATTATGTCTAGAAACTTTTTATAGCAATAGTGGGCAACATGCTGCCCGAGGGCCACAGGCAGCCCATCAGGGTTCTGTGTGTGACCCACAAGGTATTCGGTTTACTGTTGCCCACATGCAGAGTTGCCAGATTACGCTGGTTTCTGTCCATGTAGTTTTTTTCCTACTGGTATTACTGAAGTGGCATGTACATAAGCAAGGGCACACTAAGTGAGGCATGTGAAGAGCCACGTGCTTCCTCTGAATGCAAAGTGCTGCTATGGTTCAGTTGGAACATCCTGCAAAGTCTAGATATGCAAGTGCAAATAGTATAACTAACCTATTGTAGGAGATCCTTTTTGGTTACAATAATAGTGCAGCTCACTGAGATGGAGGACCACTCATTTAGTCCACTCACTAGCCTAGGTTGCCCATCATTGTTTTAGGAATATTCTTTTATTCTGTTGCTTAAATCAAATCTGTATTACCCTCTGACAAGTGCAAAATACAATCTGTGGTAATTGGAGTGATCCTGTCCTAGAATCAGGTGTCAGGAATTCAACTGTAAAGCAGTTCAAACCACTCTGAAGTAAATTTAAGCTCCCAAGAAAGGTTTGATACATACCCTCTCTTTGTTTAACTGATCTCCAACACACTCTAGAATTTTCTGAAACTCATCTCTTTCATGAGTAACTGAAGAGATCTCCTGAAGCTGCTGACATATATGTTCATTCATTGTTTGTTCAATACATTCTTTTTCTGCTAGTAATTTGTCACGTTCAGAAGAGACAAGAGTCAGATTTTCAGATAACTGAATGACCTGAAAGGAAAACAAGAATTGGAATCATCCTCCTACTCATCCAGGATTTAGCACACACAAAAATTCTCATTTAATCACAGAATGTAGTGGGTTTTTTTTTTAAACCTAATATACTGATTCTGTTGCCAAAAAAATAAAATAAAAATCCATGTTTGGTGCATGGAAGGATCTATTACTAAGTTCACTGGCTTGCTTCTAATAGTGTTTTTAAACCTCATTAGGGGAGTCATTTCCTTTATTATTACACTTTTACTGTCAAAGCAATATTTGGCAGACTTCATTACAGACCAATAAGATTTAATTGAGTAGTCTGAGTAGTCTCTGTGTGAAAAAAATCAAGTTCAATTTTATAGCCATATGAAACTGGTTTACAGAAAGGCTTATAAAAAATAAAAATTGAATTTCTCTATTAACAAGTTAAAGCAGCGAGGAATCCTGCGGCACCTTATAGACTAACTGAAGTGTTGGAGCATAAGCTTTCGTGGGCAAAGACCCACTTCGTCAGATGCATTAACAAGTTAGTTTGTTTCATGTATTTTTTTCCACTGTACACTCATTTAAATTTTCACAATTGCAGGAATTGTTGAGTGCATATCAGAAAACAGTAGGGAGGAAAAGAGTTAGTTACAGACAGATGTTGAGATTCATAAAGCTAAATCTTTATAGCCATAAAAAAAGTTGTCAACATCACATCCAACTACAGGTTGAACCTCTGTTAACCAGGACTCTCTGATCCAGTAATATCTGAGGTCCGGCATGGATGTTGCAGGACCAGAAAGCCTGGCACGTTGCAGTGGGGCTGCTTAGTGAGGCCAGGAGACCTGGCATGCAGCAGCGGGGCCAGCAGTAGGGCAGGCGGCAGCCTCCCACCGGTAGAAGAAACAGTGCTGGGAGGGGCTGGTGGCTGCAGGGGACAGGAAGACTTCCTCTAGTCTGGCAAAATCCCTCATCCAGGGCCAGTCAGGTTCAGAGGGTGCCAGACTAGGGAGGTCAAACCTGTATACAAAGTAAAATATCCTTAAAGCTAAGTTTGTGTATACAGTAAAACAGATGTTTTACATTTACTGATTAATATCTAATCCATGAAAGCCTATTTAGTTTCCTACACTTGATACTAGTGAATATTCAGATTTCATATTACCACAAGAGAGGTGTCGAATTTAAAAATGCTCCAAGAAACTCGAGATTATGATTGCCTTAGCATTTAAGGCCCAAAAAGAACTTTAAGTACAGGCAGTCCCTGGGTTACATGGATCCGACTTACATCGGATCCCTCCTTACAAACGGGGTGAGGCAACCCCGCACTAGCTGCTTCCCCCCAGCAGACCAGGGAGACGCGAGCAGACTAGGGAGACGCGGAGCGGCTTTTCTCAGCAGACACCTCAGTTTGAGATTAAAGGACTGAGGGAAGTGAGGTGTGGGAGAATAAAACTGAGCTCTGGAGAAATGTTTGGCTAGAGTTTCCCCTACAATATGTACCAGTTCCGACTTACATACAAATTCAACTTAAGAACAAACCTACAGTCCCTATCTTGCACGTAACCCGGGGACTGCCTGTATCTTAAATGTTTACTAATATGCAGTCAAGTGATATAGAGCTACATAAAAATATTTCCTATTGGGGTGTTTAAAAATAAATCCATGCCTTATTCTACATATTAAGGGTGAAATCTGGCCACCTCCTATGAAGTATATTGGAATTTTAATACTGACTTGTATAGAACCACAGTTTCATGCCAAAATTCTAAGTTACGTTTATTTACTACAAAATCTACTCAGGTTTGCAGCTGTGAAGTAATATTAGGCTTTCACTGCCCTTTACAGTTGTCAGAAATATTTTATTTTGTTGAACAGCACCCAAAGTACCATGATGGGCAAAGGCATATTTTAGTGAAGTTTCAAACTGAAATTAGGATTCCACAGATCACAAATTTGCTAAATACAAGTCTACAGAGAACACAGGAGCCAGTGACACAAATTTTTAATTTGTAAGGTACATCTTACCTCCTGTTCCAGATCATCAATTATTTTCCCTAGCCTTTCTTGAACTTTGGAGAGCTGAGTTTCCTTCTCTAAAATATTTCCTTTTAAATCCTCAATAGTTTCCTGATGCTCTTTGAGAGAGCTAGAAGCATTTCTCAGTTCTTCCTCCAGCTCTGTATTCTTTAAGCAAAGGACATGAAAGAGATTTGTTATAAGTAAATGTTAGGTGTCTTTAAAAACAAAAACAGACAACAAAAAGTACTATCCCAATGTTGATAAAAATACTTGAATTCTATATATTAATAGAAAACTGCACTACAGTTCCTGGATGAGAGTTATCCCTCTCACTTTGGAGAGTAGGGATGTTAGCGTACAGTCGTGTAAACATTAACCATTAAGCCCAGGCTTATCGGTTAACCATAACAACCACATGCACTCCACACCCCCTGCTGCCTCTGTATCAGGAGCCAGGGCCCATGGAGCCACCTGCCTCCCCCGCTGTGCTGCCTCTGATAGGGAGGCAGCAGCGCAGAGGATGAGGAGGGCAGGTGGGAACTGGCACATGCAGGAAGCTGGCTTTCAAGCCAGTTTCCTATGTATATTGGCTTACATGGAGCTGCCTCGCCCTCGTGCTGCTTCCTCTCTATCAGAGACATCAGCATGGAGCAAGGGGAGGGAGACAGGGCTGCTGCTGCATGGCAGGCCCTGGCTCACTGGTGACAAAGACTGCTCCATTGGATGCTGGCAACAGCATGGGGCTTCCCAGGAATGAGGCTGGGAACACATTGGCAGCTGGCCCCGCTCCCAAGGACTACAGAATAATCAAGTAACTGATAAAATTTGGTGCAGTTACATGATTATTTAATTAAATGATATCCAACACGCTATTAGAGAGTCTCTTGTCTTTTCAGATTATCTTTTTCCTGTGCTACAGTTTGTTTCCTGAGTCATGAAGTCTGAGTGCTTTGAAAGCTCTTTTCTAGAGTCATTGTTTATCAATTCTTTCATTTCTTCTAGCCGCTTCCCAACACCTTTACTCTTCTTTCAATCCAAGCATTTGTTCCTACTGTGTTTTCTTGCAGTTCTTGACTTTTTTTCCAAATTATGCAAATATTAAAAAGCTTCATTTATGGCACTGAATGTGACAAAGCCAAAAATCAACATTTTGAATCTCTAAAAAGATATAAAATTAACATTTTTTTAATGGAGTCAAGACATTCATTAACCAGTCATAATAGGGTGGTTTTTCCCCCCCTATTCTTTCCTTAAAAATGATAACTTTTGGATTATTTCTTTATGACAGGTTGGCTGATTGTGCACTTCCGGCAATACTGTATCCACATTTGCATCTCTCAGAGATGGAGATGATATGGATGGCATTTCATTCACATCCACTTTTACCTTACTGTAGAGAAGATAAATTAATGAGTGATAAGAATGGATTTCTTGATGAAATTTCAGTTTTCTGAAGTCTACAACAGGGAACCCCATCCCCCACCAGACTAGTATTCAAAATACAATCTTTTCACCTTCCTCTAGTGGGCAACATCCTTTGTTACTCTCAGTTTCAGAGGCCAAACTTTATGAAGCAATATAGTTTTATGGAGAGTAAAAAAAATGGACTGGAGTTGGGTTGGAAAAGTGGAGGGAGGTGAATTGCATAACATACTCCTCCATTACTGTGCTGAGCATCCACTTGTCTCACAACCTGTCCAACAACTTTTGAAGAGGGATAGGGTTTCCCAGAGAGTAATGAGGTGTGTTTGGTGTACTGTCCTCAAATGAGCAGTCAAAATTACTGATTCAAAGTCAAAAAATGTCTGGTGAGAACTGACTGCTGAAAGTAATCCTGACTGGTGATATTAAGGAGGAGAGACTGTCTCTTGGCAGTGTCCTGTGACTGCTGTTGAAAGGAAGGTCCAAAGTAAGGCTGAGGTCCAAACGGTTTCATTTCCTCTTTATTATTGAGGTGCATACTCCCAATGAATAGAGTCATTTGGAGCTTTCAAAGTAAGCAGGGTGGTACCATCTGTTTTCTTAGAGGTGTCCTTTGAAGGATCTTATCTTCAGTTGTATTTTACCAAAAGCCTAAAGCCAAGAGCAGCACCTCCTGGAGATGGCAGTAGCTATGGAAGCATGAAGTCATGTCATCAACATGGATGAACACGTAGTGATGTTTGAAATGAGATGTCCTACAGAAGCCAGGGACAGGAACTGTTCCCTTTACTCATCAGGCAATCTGTTTCTGCAAAAATATACTTTTCATTTTTCAGCATTCACAGGTGGTTGTTAGCTACCCTCATCTGGAGGAATAAGAGTGGAATAGCTTTCTTGCCTTATAACTAATCATGAGACTCCTTCTCCTTGGAAATGGCTCTCAGTGGCTGTTTTGAATGTTCATTACCAGCCATAACAACCAAGAAATCTGGTACAAAGAAATACAAGTCTACTTGCTTGGCCACAGGTATTAGAAGGTATGTTTATATAACACAAGATGACTTACCCTGTGTTGCTGAGGCCCTTCAGGGAGCTGGATGCGTGGTAGGAAAGGAGTCAGGGCAGAAGGATGGAAGGGCACTCATTGGCTTCCTCTCTGGCCCGGTCTGGGGCAGCTTCCCAGAGGTGTCCCTGGACTGCATTGGCTGGCCAGCAGCTGCTCCTTGGGACGGCCGAAGGTATGGGGGCCAAGCTACTGGCCAGCAAATGCTCCCTGGGGCTGGGGTGCTTGCTGTCTCCCTGTGCTCATTCATGGATATAACTGCCCCTACTACCAGAACCCTCCCTTTCCATGTAATGAGGAACAAGTCACATTTAATGTACATGCCATTGTCCTGCCACAACCATACCCTGACTTTGATTTAAGTTATAAGAGGAAGCTGCAAACTAAATTTGGCAGTCCTTGCTCTTAATGTCAGAGAGGTGATTGGAGTTGGCAGTACCAGAATAAAGGACTGAATTGTTCCTTCAAATGATATTGAGGGCACAGCCAGTGCCAAATGCATTAAGTTGCCAGTGTAGGTTCAACAGTGCCTTCCTTTAATGTACTCTTCACAGGAGATCTGTGGCATTCAGGAAGGCCAGTGGAGTGAGGCACTGAGATATATAGGTGTTCAGCTGACAGGGTCTCAGCCAATGTCTCAGGAGGTGTTGAAGAAGGACCATGGAGAGTGAAGATAGCCCTCAGAAGAGGCAAAGTGTATAGTGTTGCCACAGATGGATCTGATGAATGCCTATGAGAAGGCCTCTACACAGGAAGCAAGACCTTACTGGAAAAGCCTATTTATGAAGTGAAGTCTGGGATTTTGATTACCTGTCACAGTAGGAAGGATGCTTGGAATACTTTGAGATCCTTGAGGAGGAAAAGCAGCTGCTGAGGCATGGTTAAATCAGTCTTCTCAAGATTAGAGATCAATTCTGAAGAGGGACGAGTTGCCCACATAAAAGAGGAACTTTAAAGATGGAAACCCTTGTATTTTTAAGCTCTGAGAGAGAAGGATATACTACTAATAATAATGCCCATTTCCCTCACATGCCCTTCACCTAGACAAATTAAGCAGCTTTTGTGCTTATTTGTGACATGGGCTGCATACGGGCATGAAACTTCAAGACTGGGGACTCTTTCTGTTAAAAATATATCCAACTTTGCTAGTTTATGCTACTGAACTATACATTTTAAAAAAAGTTTGAGAGCTAGTAAAACAAAGCAAGTAGTTACCAGGAGCACCAACCCTCACCATTAACAGTGAGAACAAACAGGAAGGTGGCAGACATGACTCATTTCTGCCCTTCCTCCAGCACATGAGCAGGAAGGGCACATGTGTGGTCTAGAAGAACTGCTAACAAAGACTCTGACTTGATGGAATTGGGCACATGTACATCTATGTGGAATGTTATATATACATTAGAAAAACAGTTACCAGTGAAATGCACTCCTCACACCGTTCCTTTTCCACTTGCAGACACTCCAGTTTTTGCTGCAATAGAGTCTTTTCTTGATTAAGAGACAAGATTTGTTCCTGTAGCAAATCAAGTTGATCACTTTCTTCATGGTGTTTAGTATTTACTTTTTCTTGAAGGAGTTGGTCTCGCTGTAAAGTGACCTGTTTTAGCTCTTCAGTCAGATGCAATATCTACAAAGACAGGGTATCCAACATTATAGCATGCACTCAAAGGCTGACCAAAAAAAGGAGACAATCTCCACTA